TTCCACTACTTGCACGACTGTATTGGTAAGGTCAGGGGTGGGCGCATTTTTTTGGATTGGAAGTGCTGCACTCTGCTCCCCCATCCCAGCGCCTTGGTTCCTCCCACCCGGCAGTCTTTAGGGGATGTTGGGTGAGCCCATTGCTAGGGTGCGGGGGAGCCGCGCTTGGCTCCTTCGGTGGTGGGCGGAGCCTGGGCCTGGGAGAGGAACTAGGTCCTGGAGCACTCTCGAGAGGAGGGTTGGTGAGAGTTTTCATGATATTGCCACCTATTTCTTTCACCTTTTAGCGCGTAGGTTCCGTCCGCCAAGCTACTGGTGCAGTTGGGTACGTGGGGGTCCTGAGTATATGCTGGTGGGAGGCACTAGGTTACTGGATCCAGATTCGAATCCTCATCTGAGCTGGTTTTTAGTCTGTCCGTACATCCCCAGGTCAGTCTGTTACCCGCTATGCCGCTGCCCGTTGCGCTGCAGACCCGCTTGGCCAAGAGAGGCATCCTCAAACATCTGGAGCCCGGTGAGAGAGCTAAGACCAGATGAGCCTGTCATGTGCCAGGCTTGACAGACACTTCGTTGTTGATACGGATACTTGATACCTAGCATGTGCACTAAGCAGTAGAGTGACATTTCATTTTTTTTTTGTCCTTTTTGAGACCGGCCGCACCGCGCTCAGCCAGTGAGCGCTGTGAGCGCACCGGTAATCCCTATATAGGATCCGAACCCGCGGCGGGAGCGCTGCCGCGCTCCCAGCACCGCACCCTCCCGAGTGCGCCACCGGCTCGGCCCAGACATTTCATTTTTAACAATGTGGATTCCTGACACCCATTCCTACCGCGTGCCAAGCACTGGGGTGGGGGGCGGGGAGGATCGATAGTTCATCCTTAACAATACTGATAGCTGATGCCTATTTTGGGCCTATTGTATGCCAAGTTCAATCCATGGCGGTGATTACATATATCTAATAGGAAGGATGGCTAACATCTGCTGCAGTTTCCTGTGTGCCAAGTGCAGTTGCAGGATGTTGATAATTTGCTGTTTACTGTACTGATGAATTGCATGTATTTAAGAGGTATTGTCGTGACTGGCACTGTAGTAGTGACGTATACCTTATTGTTCACCATATCAATAATTGACATGTATTTTCGGCCTAAGAGCCTGTCATACACATTATGGTTAACAGTATAAGATGATGGTGAGGATCTGTCATTTAAGCCTATTGTGCTTCTGGTGTTAGTTACACCTTATTGTCAATTATACTAAAAGCTGGCCTCTATCTTGGGCTGTGTTGTACCAGGCACTGCAAAATGCTTCTTATTTTCTCCTTCTTGATAATTGACATCTATTACAAGCCTACTGCATGTCAGGCATAGAACTTGTCGTTAATAATACTGATAATGATTATTTATATTTCTTTTAAGCCTAGGGAGTACTAGGCCCTCTGCTGATAGAACATATCTTATTAACAATACTGGTGATTACAGCTGACATCTATTTTGGGCCTACTGTGTGACAGGTAGTATGCTGTTGCTGCACATAGGTTTCGTTGTTAATGGTATCCACAGCTGAAATCTGTTATAGGCTTACTGAGGGCCAGGCACCGAGCTGATAAGACTTTTTTTATTCTACTGATATTGACATCTGTTGCAGGCTTACTATGTGTCAGGCCTCAGGAACTGGATGGATTCAGAGCAATGTTTGGATAAATCCCTTGCTGTCCAAACTCTTACTACTCAATATACAGGACTCAGAAACCCTGTAATCATTGAGCTTGGAAGCTGAATGGATTGGATATATTTTCAGATAAACCCCGTGCTAGTCAAACTCACTTTATCTAAATAAATTTGTCTTTCTTTTCGCTGGCTGGCCTCTATAGGGATCTGAACCCGTGACCTGAGTGTTATAAGGCTGTGCTCTAACCAACTGAGCTAACCAGCCAGCCCTAAATAAATTTGAATAACAGTGTCACATACTATCTGAACATAGGAATTGAATAGATATGGATAATTTTTAAAAAAAATTTTTTATCTACCATATGATCCAGCTATCCTACTGCTGGGAATATACCCAAAGGAATGGAAATCATCAAGTCGAAGGTATACCTGTTCCCCAATGTTCATTGCAGCGCTCTTTACAATAGCCAAGAGTTGGAACCAGCCCAAATGTCCATCATCGGATGAGTGGATACGGAAAATGTGGTATATCTACACAACGGAATACTACTCAGCTATAAAAACGAATGAAATACTGCCATTTGCAACAACATGGATGGACCTTGAGAGAAT